ATGACATTTCGGCACCAGGTCAAAACCTTCCTGTTCCAGAAGGCTTTTAATTGAAATAATATTAGCTGTGGGTCCGATGGCAATTTTTATATATATATTAATTGTATTTTAATTGTTGTAAACCGTATTGTATTTTAATTGTTGTAAGCCGCCCAGAGACCTTTGGGTAGTGTGGGCGACATATAAATTAAATAAATAAAAATAAATAAAGAAAAATAATAAAATATGATCATTCTTGCAATTGCCACCACATTGCTATTAACCATGTTACTTGAGGTCTCCAGCACCAAGCTTTCAATATTGTGACAATGCTTACTGTGTATCCTTCTTTTGCCCCCACCGTTTCATGTATGAGGACATGCGCTGGGCCTCTCAGTCATACAGGAGCCTTCGTCAATCTCGAGAGCTCAGCAGGTCCCGATCACGCACTCGTGCTCATCCTTGAACTTGAGCAACTTACAGTGCCAACCTTCCTAAAGCTATGAGTGGCATCTGACTCGCATTATCATTGGGACCTTTGAAATCAATCTTGCTCTTCACATCGCTCCACTGCTCTCTACCTCCCATGATACCATTGCCACCAACGGGGCTTCCCCCCGCTTCCACCCAAGCCTTGGCTCTCCGGCCCACCTCACCTGAGATATTGCTGCCTCCTTCTAATCCAGACTACTTAATGACCTCTCAATTACTGTTGGGCTCGTGTCAGCTGCTGGCAACTCCCTTGCTTCCAGAAAAAGAAAGACAATTGGATAACAGCTCTACTGATTCTGAAGGGGAGGAAAGAAAAGACTCAGTCCTTGTCCAAGAATCCTATCCAGTTCTGATGTCCAGGATGCCGGTCCTCTCTCACTCTTGGAGGATCTCTCTTCCTATAATGATGTAATAGAAAGAGAATGGCAAAGTAATTGCAGCTACCAGTTTTTAAGCCAGTACCCCCAGCTAAGGATGCAGTCTTCGCCCACATCCACAAGACAAGCATCCCTATTGAAATGCTGATGCTTGAGACTCTGATATATCTTATCAGCCAATCCTGGCAAAAACCTTTATCCTACCAACATCCCGTAGGATTGAGAACTTCTACAGGTTCCAGCAGGACAAGGCTAAGTTCTTCTTTAAATACCTTACACCGGACTCTATCATGGTTCAAATGGCCCAAATCAAATCCAAGGGCTCTGCTCTTTACACCCCCCAATAATAAAGTTGTAAACTAGACTTGGCTTGCTCACAAGATATACTCTTCAGCGGCACTCCACATGTACATAGCTAACTATCAAGCATGATGTGTGCTTATCACCAATTCATCTGGGAGATGTTTCAAATTATAATTGCCACCCTACCACCAGACAAACAGACTCTAGCCATCTCCTTTCAGCAAGAGGCTTATGGTCTGGTTGGGCAACAAATCCACTCCGCCCAGTACGTGGCAGATTGTGCAGCTAAGAGTATGGCAGTGAGCATCACTCTCCATAGACACGCATGGCTCTTCTCAGCAGGCCTTCCAGATAACCACATTGAGGACTTACCCTTCAATGGAGAGACTTATGCAGAGAAAATGGGCATAAACATATCGCTCAACAACTGCCCTCATTGGAACAGATCCCTGCCATACTGTCACTACAAGTCACCATCTGAGCAGTCCAAATCCCCTGACAGGTCAACCCACCAACACTTTACCCCAGTGTCCTCCTCTGCCAAATACAAGCAAACAACCTTCTCCAGAAAGGCACACAGGAAACCTCAGCAGCAGTTTGATGTGCCCCAGCCCGACAGATGCATACCTCTACCACTATCACCCCACATTACAACAGCTACAGACATATGCTTAGCACCGTTCACCCATGCTTGGGATGCTATTCAGATGCATGGATCCTCAGCATCATAACCTACGGATGCACAATAGAGTTCTCCACTCTTGTGCCCACAGGCCATATCGAATGCACTCCACGTTGCCCTGTCTTCCAGGAAGAAATCCATATGCTCCTGGCAAAAGAAGCAATCTCAAGGGTACCTCTCCATCACATCTCCAATGGTTTATTCTCTTGGTACTTTACGGTACCCAAAAGAGCAGAAGTGCTACAGCTCCATCTTGGATCTAAGTGTCTCCAATA